TCAAAGTTGGAAATTATAGTGTTTGTTAAAATAAAAAGAAAGATTTACATTTAACCTCTCCTCGGGTTTCCTCTTCTCCCATGGCGTTGCTGGGGTGGGATGGGGGTGTTGTGCCACAGCCCCCCCCCGGGACCCCCCCCACCCCCCCATCCCCGGTGCCACTCCAAATTCCTCCACCTCCAGCGGATTAATCATTTTATTTATGAGGCTTAAAGGCCCAAATCCCGCTAAACCCGGGGCTTTGCCAGATAAACAGCCCGCTTTGCAAAGGCAGCCCGTTTGTGAAAACACAATTAGCAAACCCTGTAATCTGCACTAATTATCGGGTCGGAGCCCTCACCCGGCGCCGCGCTGCGGGGCGATGGGGGATACGGGGGATATGGGGGACGCAGCGCCCGCAGCACGGACCCCCTTCACCATCGAGTACCTCCTGGCAGCACGAGGCAGAGCGGGGTCCCCCCCGCCCCCCAGCAGCACCCCCACGTCCCCCCCCGGCCCCACAGCGCAGCCTGGGGACAAACCAGCGCAGTCCTACATCGCGCTCATCTCCACCGCCATCCTTTCGTCCCCGGAGAAGAAGCTGCTGCTCTCTGATATCTACCAGTGGATCATGGATAAGTACCCCTACTTCAAGAACAAGGTGGGCGGGGGGGGGGCTGGGGGGGTCCTTGGGGTCCGAGTGCCGCGGTGGGGCTGGGATGGACTCACTGTGTGTCTGCTGGGTCCAACTGATGGAGATGTGGGCACGGCTCAGGGCTGTGCTCTGCTCCCAACTGGTGGATTCATTCTGCTCCCAACTGGTGGATTCATTCTGCTCCCAACTGGTGGATTCATTCTGATCCCAACTGGTGGATCCATTCATTCCCATCCCAACTGGTGGATCTGTCCTTTCTGCTCCCAACTGGTGGATCCATTCTCATCCCAAACAGTGAATCCATTCATTCTGCTCCCAACTGGTGGATCCCTTCCGATCCCAACCGGTGGATCCATTCATTCTGCTCCCAACCGGTGAATCCATTCATTCTGCTCCCAACTGGTGGATCTGTCCATTCCGATCCCAACTGGTGGATCCATTCATTCCCATCCCAACTGATGGATCCATTCCCATCCCAACTGGTGGATCCATTCATTCCGATCCCAACTGGTGGATCCATTCATTCCCATCCCAACTGATGGACGCCCCTCAGTCCCAGCTGCCGGCTCCATTTGCTCTGGTCCCACCCAACTGGTGGCTCTGCTCCTTCCCGTCCCACACGATGCCACGGTTCGGTGCCGGCTCTGGGGGCCTCTGGGGGGGCTCTGACACCGCATCCCCAACGCAGGAGAAGAGCTGGCGGAACAGCGTCCGCCACAACCTGTCCCTTAACGAATGCTTCGTTAAAGCCGGCCGCAGCGACAACGGCAAAGGCCACTTCTGGGCCATTCACCCCGCCAACCTGGAGGACTTCTCCAAAGGGGATTACCACCGCCGCCGGGCTCGGAGGCGCATCCGCAGGTGAGCGGGGGGCTGGGGGCGTGCAGGGCATCGTTTGGGGGCCGAGGGCCGAGAGCTGACCCTGTGCTCTGCTTCCCCCCCAGGATGGCGGTGAACATCGGCTACTGCCACCCCTACGCCCTCTACGGCCTCGGCTGCTGCTGCCCCTGCTGCCCCCCGGCGCCCACCGGACCCCCTCTGTGCCCCCCGCTGCCGCCCCCGCTCGCGCTGCCCCCCGGCCCCCACCGTGGGCGATGGGGTTGGGGGCGGCCGCCGGGTCCCCGAATCCTCGGTCCCCTCTTCCCCGCTCCCCGGCCCCCGTTCCTGTAGCCCCATTCTTGGGTCCTGGATGCGGACCCCACAGCGGAGGGGTGGCTCAATGAGAGGCTCCGTCCCCATGGACCCCACTGCCAGCAAAACCCGATGTGCCAGAGCCTGGGGAGGGCGTCCCTCTGCAGCACTGACCCCATATCTCTATATTCCCGTGTTCCCATCCACATCCCCACAACCCCGCATCCCCACATTCCCAAGCTCCCATATCCCTACACTTCCACATCCCTACATCCCCACATCCCCATGTCCCATCCGTATTCCCCCATCCCCACATCCCTACGTTCCCAATCTCCCCACATCACCAACATCCCCACATCCCTATGTCCCCACACCCACACGTCCCCATATCCCCCCACCCCACACCCACACGTCCCCATATCC